GGGTATTTAATTTTCGACTTGTCGAAGATTACCTCCCATTTATTTCTATCCTCCTTGCCAGCGCATGATTTAGTTTTTAAATAGTTAGTTAAGCGTTAAATTGACTTGGCACCGAGATTCCGTCACTTGTTAAGTCGTTCCTTAACTGGCCAACCCTGTTAATTGCCTAATTAAGCGCTGCAATGGACGGTGGAGGAGCGACTGCCCACGCAACTTGCTCCAAATTTGCAGACTGTTTGACTGCGCAATAGCGCGTCTGTCAGCTGTGGCAAAGATTGCCCCAGTCCATGTTCACGAGACGGATGCACGTTGCCCACTCTTGGTCAACCATTTGCACACGCGAGTCGCTGACATGTGCGCTAATGAGCCATGAGGAGGCCAATCCTACTGCGCCTGAGGCCTGCTCCGCTGGAGCGCACAACAGCTTCGCTGATAAGCAAAATTTATCATTGAATACCGACTGTCGCCTGGCTGTCGGATTAGCGGCGTCAAGAAGTCAACCGCCATTTATTTGCATATTCATAAATCTGCGCTAAGCCCAGGGCTGAGCAACAGCAGCACCGCACCGGATCAGCGTTGCGTGTCCAGAATGCTTCTAGACTCAATTGGCTTGAACTGCGCGCTAATTGAAATATGTATTTATTTGCTTTTAATTGAATGTCGGCCCGGCTGCTGCTGCTGCTGCAGTTGCAGTTGCAGTTGCAGTTGCAGTTGTATTTCTGCCCTGCCTGTTTTGACTTATTCACTGGACACTGTCAGTTTCTGCTGTGCAACCAGTTGATCGCATAATCCGATATATATTTGTTAAATTTGTCACAGGAACGAACCGTCTTGTCAAGGTATTTTAAAGTAATCTCATCTAATCCAACAATACAGGTTAAGTTTTAAATACAAGCCGACTTAGCAACAAGACATGCTAGTAAATATGGCATGCCAGACTAGAAGATACTCATAATCCGGTGTTGAGCTCCCGATTCAATCAATTCTATATGTATAAAGCTTTCAGAGGATAAAGAGGAATAGTAAGCTCTCAAAAAATATTTATTGAGCAATGCTATTTAAGAAACTAAAATTCGTATGGAATTTAGCAATTGTTCCCGTGATCGACGCTATAATTGACTCAGTTCGTGTCCGTCTGATTATATATACGTATATAAGTATATACATATACAAAGCCATGGGCACCATCCACACCCACAGTGCATGACATATTTATACTCTTATATACTGCTTATAAACATAAACATCAGACATTATGAAACATAACCGTCCGCCACAGTCGTTATTAAAATTCAGCCTACTCGAATATTTCCGAAATTCTTCCGAAATTCTCCCAACTGTGAAGATAGAGACCATCATCTACTGGAAATCCTCAGTTAAGTCGAAATTTGAACATAGAAAATAAACTTATATATTTGTTTGTAAAGTATCGACATCTTTTCTTATTATACGTATATTATTAAGCAATATATTCTTTTTACTCATTTTTAATAGGTTCAAGACATAATAAATAATAATAATTAACTTCAACAACATCCGTTGCGTTGGAATGCAAAATCCTTCTTTTAATTATAATAAGAAAATTATTTGTTTGATTTAGGCTGGCCAGATATGAAATTAAGTATTCTATTGAAAATTAAAACCAAAGCGAATGAGAAAAGAATGCATAGATTAACTTTGATTATAAATGGTTTTTAGAAAGATAGATTTTGATTATATTCAACCGACAGCATGAGGAGAATCTGAAAAGATGGCGACAATACACATAAAACCTTTTCTTGTTAAGTTTCATTTGCTGTCCCATTCCAACAGAAATACTTACAATGCCAAAGCCCTTCCAAAAATGCCCTACGAAATAAGTATATAAGATGCACAAAGCGACTACACTAAAAATGTTGTAATAAAATTTTACGAGCGGTTAGCAACAGGCATGGCTCTTTAGCACCGAACTGTGCGGACGTTTTTAGGAAAGGAATTGAACGAAAAGACTAAAAACACAAACAATGCCAAGGTAGAGCTGGCGGAGTCTGAAAGAACTGAGTGAAAAGCCAAAACAAGCGAAGGACATTAAACAAATAAATATCGTGAAATTCATGAATGAATCAGAGAATCGTGTAGGCTTTTTGTTTCTTGCGGCATTTGGCTATGGCCATGGAGAACGACTTTGTTGCTGTTGCTAGCCGGCTAACATGTTCACTGTGGTCCGGGTGCAAACACAGACACAGATACAGACCCAGACCCAGGTCCAGATTCCAGGCCCGCGGCCCCAGTCGAAGTTGCAGGGTGCAGGTCGCCGGCTGAAAAGTTTGCGCATGCGTGACGCTTGTCAAAGGCAGCAGCCGGCTGTGAGATGGCGCAGAAAAAGAGCAGCTCTTGCCGAGCTTTAAATTTGTGTGGCTCCTTTTTGGTCTGGCCAGAAACACGTTTCCTTTTTAGGGCCATAGACTTGGGTCATGCTGGGCAGCAGCCAGGCAAAACTTGTTCTTGTTCTCGCCGCCGTTGCATATTAAGCAACCTTGGGGAATAAGGAAGTCGATGTCGGGAGTCAGAGAAGAAGATGCAGACGCCGATCTCGACCAAGACAACGACTGCCAGACACCAAGAGCGAGACCGAGTTGGGCAGCTCCCAGCTGCTCGCCTAAAAGCCACTTCAGCTGTTTGGCTTTCTTTAGAGCTACAATTGATTGCAATTTCCTACCATTCGCTCGAGAAATGCAGCATAATTGGGCAAAAATAAATAAAGGCCAGGCAAAATATTGCATGTGCTGCTGAGGCGCGGACACTCGAACTACGTGCTCATGTACAAATACATTCGTACACATGTACTATATTTGGCATGTGTTTTATTTCGTGCCCCCGTCAAGTGGGTTATTGAGGCGCCTTCGATCTCCATTTTTGCCAGCTATTTTTCTGGCAACCTGTCTCTGCCGCTTCTTCTGTTTGCTTTCGCATTTTAACATAAATGGGCGCATAGTTCAAAGCAAAAATAACACCAACAATTTCCTCTTACTTTCCAATGCGCAGTTCAAATGCACTCCAGTCCAACAAACCGTATGATTTGGCATCCAGGCCATTAGCAAGTTGCTTTTGGAAGCAAGAAAATATAGAGAGAAGAAGTTCTGCAACACCTTATATCTATTTGTTGTCGCAATCGATATATTGTGGATAGATTTGAATTTTCCACTAACGGAAAACGTGAGGAAAAGTAATGTCTTTATTTTAAGGCAAGAAACTAAGCCCGGGTTACGCTGGGAAGTGTGCGTTAGTACATGTATAGATTTTTCATGAATTGACTAATGCGACATATATACTAGTCTACGTTTTGAGTAAAAGAGGAAATTCGCTAAATATGAGCACATAATAACACAATGCAAGTGATATAACTCTTAAATATTTAAATGCAAAAAGCGGCGCTAAGAGTTTTTGTTAGAAGAGAAGCGGAACTTGCGTTCTCTTTTAAGTGAAGGGGCAGAGCTATTGAATTGTTAATTGTTGACAAAGAATGGGAACATATGCTTAGCTATTTTCAAGGCCAAAAACCACTTTGTTCACAAAAACAGACAACACGAAATGCATAAAGGTTTGTAGAGAATAAATAGGTATATTTTAATAGCTTTTCCCAAAAAGTGCATGGGATCGAAAACTCTTTGGCTTAAGAAGTAAAGTGGCTAATAAGCTTGTGGCAACATTCGTGGCATCACGGCTAATAAAAGTGCACCTCTTCAGAAATCAACTCGCTCAGTCGCAATTACAATGGAAAAAGCTCTTTACAGCAGAATGCACTGCATAAATCACACTTAAAGCAAACCTCAAACGTAACCCTTACCCCAATTCCCTAACCCTAACCCAACAGCCCCTACTCAAAACTATATTGCCAAGCGGGCACAAACTGCATTAGAAATTCACTTGGAATTACAAGAAAGCGAAAGAGAATGCGCGAGAAAAAGGAACAGCAGTAATAGCAGTTTTCACTTAACAGGCAAGTGGCACATAAATTTCAGCAAGGACACCGGCGCACTTAAAGGAACAGCAACAACAACAACAACTACAACAATGAGGACGGCGATGACAGCTACGGCATTTCCTGATAAGTCTTGCTGCAATGTTCATTGCTCCGGTTTGGGTAGGGTCTTTCATTTGCCCGACAAAAAAAGAAAAAAAAAAAAGAAATCCTTGCAAATATTTGGGTGACAAGAGCCCTCGAGTCGAGCCGCCGTCCGTGCGGAAGGTCAATCGGTGCATAAAATTTCGGGCAGCAGCTGCAAAAAGCGCAGCAGCTGCTCTTTGGCGACCCTTGATTAACCAGAAAGATGACTTGGGGCGCAGAGATCTTAACCCAAATAAGAGATGCGAAAAGAAAAAAAAATTTGGCCCTGTGCTTAAAACTTAGCCTTTAATTTTTGAGGATTATCAAAATTTTTAGGTCGAATTCTTTTGCTGAAAAGAAAATAAATACAAGTACAACATTTTATTATAATAACGAGAAAAAGGGCATGCCGATGATGCAATACCCTTACCGTATTGCAACCGTAAAAAACAAGAAAGTTTTCCATCCAACAACTTCGTTTTCGACCGATCGTTCCATATATGTAGCTATATGATATAGTGACAGTAAAACAGACAGACGGACAGTTGGACATGTCTATCTAGACTCGGCTGTTGATACTGATCAAGAATATATATACTTTATTGGGTCGGGGCTATCTCCTATCTATCTTATAATACCCTCTGCAAGTTTATAAAAATGCGATATGAAATTCACTTTTTGTGGCTGTATTTGATAAAAGAACTATTTATCTGGCTTATTGAAATCAGTTAAGCTGGGGCTCTAGCCTGGCTAAAGGAAGTCTTTAAAAATGGTTAAAGAGCCGCCTAATGTAACAGCTTTTTTAAATACTCACCTATTACCAGATGCGAATTTTTTAACTAATTTAATGATTTATTATCATTACCTTAGAGCTTTATAGTCACACTAAAGTATTTCTAAAATCTGCTTTCAGGATAATATTTCAGGCGTTTCGCGCTCATTTCACAATGTGGCAACTGACTTAAGCCGAATCCTCTACAGCATTTTACCCAAGCAAGTAGCCGCAACCATAGCGTATAGTAAAAGATGCAGCAATTAAGGACCCAACTGGCCATTGGCTGCCTGGTGCTCTTTATATTTGGGGTAAACTTGCTGCTAGGCTCAGCAGAGGGCAAGGAGCAACAGCAAGTGGGTGAGCTGCATCCAAAGCAGCAGCACCGCAGCCACTCGAGCAGTGGGTCATCATATAAGCGCTTCTCTCGCGACTCGAATGCGGCTCGTGAGCGACGCCCAAATATAATCCTCATACTGACCGACGATCAGGACGTGGAACTGGGCTCGCTCAATTTTATGCCACGAACTTTGCGGCTGTTGCGAGATGGGGGCGCCGAGTTTCGTCACGCGTACACAACCACTCCGATGTGCTGCCCGGCACGCTCTTCGCTGCTAACGGGCATGTATGTGCACAACCATATGGTGTTCACGAACAACGACAACTGCTCCAGTCCGCAGTGGCAAGCGACGCACGAGACGCGCTCCTATGCCACGTATCTGTCGAATGCGGGCTATCGGACCGGATACTTTGGAAAGTATCTGAACAAGTACAATGGCTCGTATATACCGCCTGGGTGGCGCGAATGGGGTGGACTGATCATGAACTCCAAGTATTACAACTATAGCATCAATCTGAATGGGCAGAAGATCAAGCACGGCTTCGACTATGCCAAGGACTACTATCCCGATTTGATAGCCAACGACTCGATCGCCTTCCTTCGCTCCTCCAAACAGCAAAACCAAAGAAAGCCCGTACTGCTCACCATGAGCTTCCCTGCGCCACACGGACCCGAGGACTCTGCGCCGCAGTATAGTCATCTCTTCTATAATGTAACTACCCATCAGTGAGTTACGTACAGCTTGATTCAGAGCACCGATCACTTATTCTCATTCATTCTTCAGCACGCCCAGCTATGACCATGCGCCCAATCCCGACAAGCAATGGATCCTCAGGGTTACTGAGCCTATGCAGCCGGTGCACAAGCGCTTCACCAATATCCTTATGACCAAGCGCCTTCAGACACTCCAAAGCGTCGATGTGGCTGTGGAACGTGTCTACAATGAGCTAAAGGCTTTGGGCGAGCTAGACAATACCTACATTGTGTATACCTCGGATCATGGATATCATTTGGGCCAATTTGGCTTGATCAAGGGCAAGAGTTTTCCCTTCGAGTTCGATGTGCGTGTGCCCTTCCTCATTCGTGGTCCTGGAATACAGGCCTCTAAGGTGTAAGTTAATACCCGAAATTCCAATTATTTGAGTTAAACATGTAACACTCTGCAGCGTCAATGAGATCGTGCTGAATGTAGATCTGGCGCCCACATTCTTGGACATGGGCGGCGTGCCGACCCCACCGCACATGGATGGACGCAGTATTCTACCGCTGCTGAACAGTCGTAATCGTATCGTGCGCGACACCTGGCCGGACAGCTTCCTTATCGAGAGTTCAGGTCGTCGAGAAACAGCGGAACAGATCGCCGAATCTCGAGCACGCTTGGTGGCGGAGCGACGCAGCATGAAGCTAGTCAATAGCACGTTGCTGGAGGATCTGCTTGGCAGCGACAACAGCAGCAGCAGCACGGTAGCTACGATGTTGAGCTCCATGGCAACTACAACAGAACAGGAGGACTTTGAAGATGATGTTGACACCGATGCTGAAGACGAGGATGGCGATGATGCCATTGACAGCTCAGCACCTGCAGTGGACGATGAGGAACTAGTAGATGTTGCTGCCGAAGAAGACGAAGATGATGAGCTAGATGAACAAGAGCTGCTGCTGCAGCGGGACAATAATCTTCCATTAGCACCCTATATCACAAAAATGATGCGATTGAATTCGGAGTGCTCAGACCCGGCGCTATTAAAGAACTGCCTGCCCGGACAGAAGTGGAAGTGCGTTAATGAGGAGGGACGCTGGCGCAAGCACAAGTGCAAGTTTCATGTGAGTATTCCCAATCGGAAGTATTCAAATCCAAGTACTAAGCTATCCGTCTCTTATCAGCTGCAACTGGAACACCAGCTGGCGACGATGCCACGCAAGCAATACCAACGCAACTGTGCCTGCTTCACCTCGAGTGGATTGGTCTATACCAAGATTCGTGCGCCGACGACATCCCTGCACTCGCACCGCCTGCACAAACGCACTCACATGCACCATCACCAGCACCATCAACATCTTGGTAAGCGACGTCACAAGCGACAAGTGGCAAAGGAGGTCTTTCACACAGAACTGCCGTACGAAATGGAGGAGCTGCTCGACTTAGATCAGTCGGTCGATCTGCTCACAAAGCACGGCCGACGAAGCAAACGAGAAGCGTCCAGTGGACAGAGCGTAGCTACCAACAGCTCCAACGATGCAATTGCTCTGGTCATACAGCAAATCCAGAACACCCTGGAAACGCTGGAACTCAAGTTTAATGAGCACGAGCTGCACAATCGGAGCACTAGTTTTTTGGGGCGTGGCAATAAGTTTCTAAAGGGCGGTGCTCGCTGCTATGTAGAGGAGAGCACAGACAAGGTCAACTGTTCGGATGTCATCTACGACGATGAGAAGACCTGGCGCACCTCTCGCAATCAAATTGATATGCTTATTAAGCTGCTAAAGGACAAGATCAGCACACTTAAGGACATGAAGAAGCAGATGCGAGAGAACAAGCAGCAGGCCGCAGCGGCCGGCAGGCGTGGCGAGGGACGGCGACGCAATGATCCAGTGGCAGCTCAAGAGGGCGCCGGTCCTGAATTTAATATGAGCTACTTCAGTGAGATCGCCAGCACGCCCCGCTCTGTCCTGCTGCCCAATGTATATAGCGGTGCTGGTGCCTACGATTCCCTGGATCAGTCCCAGACACCACACTATGCATCGCGTGCAGAATGCTACTGTGAGCCGGATGTGGGCGAGAGGTGAGCAATGAATCAGCTAAAGTACAAGCTGCAAGCTCCTGGTCTACTACTTACACTCGTTCTTTACTTCCAAGCTATGCGGACTCCAAGGAGATGGCACGCGAGGCGCGGCGCAAGCTCAAGGAGGAGCGACAACGGAAAAAGGAGCGCAAGCGCATCAAAAAGGCGCGCCTCGAGAAGGAGTGCCTTTCGGAGAAGATGAACTGTTTCTCGCATGACAATCAGCACTGGCGTACGGCACCCTTCTGGAACGACAGTCCTTTCTGCTTTTGCATGAATGCCAACAACAACACCTACTCTTGCCTCCGAACCATTAATTCCACGCACGATTATCTCTACTGTGAATTTACAACGGGCCTGATAACCTTCTATAATTTGACCATAGGTAAGGTGATTCTTGACGGCATCCCAACTAATTGGAATCATGTCTTATTTACCCATACTCAGTGAATCCTTATTTCTTATTCCCCGAATGTCGATTACTTTAAAAGTTTGTTCCTTTCTCTATGCGTACCTAGATCGGTTTGAAACGCAGAATCGTGCCTCGAGCCTGTCACCTGCTGAGAGATCACACATGCATGACACGCTGGAGCGACTGAAGGGCTGTCGTGGACGCAACTGCAGCATACGCAGACAGCTGCCACAACTGGGCATGTCAGCAGCCCTGCAGCCCACCGCCATTAATCAGGTGCAGCGCAGCAACAAACGCAAGCAAAGTAGGCAACTATTTTCATACTTCTCCGATTATGAGATTATTCAGTGATTTGTTATACTTGACAGCCCCCCTTTCGGCCAGAGTGGGCAACTTTGGCTTTGTGGGCAGCCGACTGGACATGGATGTGGTGCCACCTGCCAAGCGACGCAAGCTCTCCAAATATCACAGGCAAGCAAACTGCCAACTGAATCACGACTGTTACTTATACTCAACCATTACTACTTGACCACAGATGGACTAACTCGCAGAACTCGCATCTGAAGCGACGCCCCTGGAAACAGCAATCCCACAGATACTTGCCCCAGCAGCCAGCTACCGCTGTTGCCGCCTAAGCAGCGGCATTCCCTTCACCTTCACCCAGTACCCAGTGAGCACATATCCTGGCTTGCCACTCCGTTCAGTGCACCGCCGTGGTCTACATATGGTAGATATAGATAGATTCATGTCCATAGACGGATATAGATCTGCGTTCTGGTATATTTTCTTCGTAAATAAGACTGTGTTTTTTGTATTCAACTTACGTTTAGTTTCATTTATGTTGAACTTCTTTGCTTCTTTGGCTTCAACCCGCAATATAAATAAACTGTAATTAGCTGTTAAGTCATTTAATTTGTACATAAATTTAGAAAGAGAGTGAACATATTTACACACTACATAAATTATTTAGCGCAATTGGTTTTACAATTAAATTATATAGTAGACGAGTACACTTAGCAAAAAGAAATCAAGTTACCATAGAGATCATATTTACATACATATTTGTAGTACTTGTATTTATTGGAAATCGCTAAAAACGCTACGCAAATAACCAACTGTTATTGTTTTTAAATGGAAATACTAAAGCAATGGTTATTTTCTGACGTTGTGCTGCACTATTTAAATCAACTTGTTTTCTTTTTAGCAGGCAACACGCCCACGAACAAACATTGTAACTGCTATGGCAAACATTTAACAAACTTATTCTAACAAAATAAAAATATATATGCATAGAAAGCCCTATTTAAAATAAAAGTATCTGTGCTTTTTATTCACAGCTGCTTTTATGAAAATAAAAATATTGATCTTTGCTTTTTAGTAAGCTGTCATTTTTGTAAACATACTCGACAATAATTAGCCCATTTATTTAGCACTTGTGGGGAAAACACATAATTATTAGAGTATACGACAATGATTTAATTAACGTCAATATTCACGAAAACTGGCTTAGCAGGCCTACGTAAGCGTATTGTTAATTAATGACGTACTTCTAGAGAATTGACTACTCAACGTAAAGCCATCATTTTAGAACGTACGGATATTGTTTATATTTCTTAAAAATTTTAAGTGTTTCTTATTATATCAGGGTTGAAAATCGATTTTAAGCCGAACAGTGTTCAATCCGGAAACAAGATAGTTTGTTTTCCATTAACCGGAATCAAGATATTTTATTTTCCATTACCCGGAATCAAGATATTTTATTTTCCATGAAACGAACCTTAAACCACATTCTAAGCGAGACCAAATCGAATTGTTATTTTCCTCAAATATAAGGTTACATATAGGAAGCTTAAATTCTGCGGACCGTTAGTAAAAACGGCCCGTTCAAACGATTTTCGCGACATTTCCATACTTGCGGCTGGAAAACCTCGTCTTAGCGTGCACGTCCACCACATAAGCTAACTACAGATAAAATTTCAAATTCATAGCATTAACGGTTTGAGCTGTGTGTTGATCGCCAATCAGTCAGTCAGTCAATCAGTTAGCCAGTCATTCAATCAGGACAAAAAGTTTCAAATAAAGAGATTAAAATGCTCTAGTGGAAAAGTGAACAAAAATCTGGCGAATTAACCTGGGTTCATAGAAATGGAAAAAACTGACTGACTTCATATACCCTGTTTTCATAGAATGTCTTTTAAATGGGGTACAGGCTTTACCGATTCCAAGAATTACATTTATGCTACTCCGAAAAGTATGCAACATATGGTATAGCTAAGCTCATCAGTAGAGCATCTAAAGTTATGTGGCATACTCTTGGTATAGCAAATAGCAATTACAAGTGGCCGACTTGGAGATATACCGAGCCCAGTGCCAAGCCACCTCAACAAGCATTCTTGATAGCCCATTTTAAACGTACCCAAAATAACATATACACAGCGTCATTCGAGTAATGTTTAAAAACCCATTTCGTAAAATCGATTCTTATCGATATTATGAAAATGGGAAGAACTATCGTGGCATAGGAGAATATATGTTCCGAATATAAGAATATAAGTTCCTGAGATTAAGGTCTTTACACAGACGGGCATAGGGACACGGATGGATCCATCCAGTTGGATGTCCTAGTCGAGCATATATATGCTTTACGGGATTGGAAATGCTTCCTGCTGCCTGGTACAACATATGCACAGAAACATTATACCTCTTGTACCGCATGTGCTCAGGGTGTAAAAAGTTTATTGCGAATAAAACAGGTAACTGTTCCTTAGTTCAGGCTCATGCAAGATTTTGCTTTTGTTTGTAAAACAATCAAAATGAAAACATTTTCGGATGCACACGACTTGAAAGAAACTTGATATGCGCTGAGGTATGTGTGTATCTGACAGAGATAGATCTTGAGGCCATTAAGATCGGAGTTGTTGAACCCGTAGAATAGATTCAAAGTCTTTTAATATAATCCGATATACTCATAAGACTCAAAATTCTAGATTATGCAAACAGAATAATAAGCTGTGTGGCGTTGAAATGTTGTAAACAAGAGTTCCATAACAATATCGGGAATTGTAGTAAGCTCGGGTAGCATTTTGTTTTTCTTTTCTGTTTCAGCTACAAATGAAAGCAGGCTAAACGACGAATTATATAATGGGTTCCCAAAGATATACACACAATTAAAACAATTGGCTTGTTCGGGCTGTTTTAACCAGGTCACGCATAATCTGGGCAATATTCAAAAATTGCTTAACTCGTTTGTTGCTATCGGCTGAGATTATAAAGATTAAATATTGACCGATATTGACAGCTGGATGGATGCTTAAGTCGGGCCGCAATCGGAGGCAATCAAAGAGCACATCACAAAATTTCGATCACTTTGGTTAATGTATGCGAAAGTATTTCGTATGCTTGACAACTTGTGCCTGATAAGTGATAATAAGTGATAACAAACATAGCAGCTGATAGCTATTAGAATGTGTGTGCATCGAGGCGAGCTGAATCGTAGCCAGCTTCCATGGGCGCCAGGCAAGGGATCGGCGCGGGCGCCGCTTCCACGAACAGCAGACCCAGATGCAAATAAGCTCGACCGAATGCGCTAATTAACTTGCTGAGATGTTTTCATCTGCTGTCAAATATTGTTACCCACTTGGCAATTCACACTTGACACTTCACGCGCTAATTTCCGCTGCAGCTATGGGCGGCACAAGGAGGAGGAGGTGTGCGGGGCCACTCCATTTTATCTCTACCAAAACAAAAAGAGAGAAAGAGAGAGAGTGGGAGCAAGGGAGAGAGAGAGCGAGAGAGAGCGGCCGGCGCGTGCATGCAGAGAATGATAGACGCTCAGTACATGGGGAGATATCGTGTCAAAATTTTGCGCAAGCAGCAGGGTTATCAGCTTGAAATTTATTTATTGTTTACTAGACGACTGACAAATACCTACCGGCCTGTTGGCTAGGCCAGTAACAGTGGATGGGGGCCTATTCGAGGCCTTTGCCCCACTATATTTGTGCCGCACTCAACGAGCCCGCTTCCTCCCCGCACAGCCCGCCCATCGTCCGCATTGCTTGATCTTGGAATAGCAACGAGCATTTATTGTGCGCCGGGTCTGCTTTTTATTTGCGCACTTCAATCGAGATATCGTGCTGAAATTTCACAATTTCAGAATTGCCTCACCTGGGCCGGGGCCTGTGCAACGCAGGGATTCAGAGCGCCAGGCACGTACACAGCTAGCAAAAACTACACTGGGCAGCTATTGAATACATATTCACTTAATAGAACGATGAACTCACTGACAGTCTCCACATGGCTTCAATATAAACAGACAGTAAAGATTCACTTTTCTACTTAACACAATGTTGCACTTCCAGCAGGCCTATTACTTACTGATGTTGACATTTAGCTTAGATACAAGGGCTAGAGCTTAGCAATTCTTGGTGAAATCAGTCGTAAAGGTTAAGATAAGGCCCTCAGATGAGTCTTATCTGCGAATACGAAAAACTTTCCAAACATTTTCATCGATATAAAAATCCCATCTTCGCAGATTTTAATTTTATGTGCTGATACCTTAAATAATTGCATTGTAAATGTCGTAACAATTCTTAATTTCCTATTCATCCTCTTATTTATTCAGCGTTCCCCCAAGCAAGCAAGTAAATATTTTGTGTGATGTTGGTGATAATAGATAACTGCAAACAGCTTTTGTCGGTTTTTATACAATGCCTCAATATTCTTTTGTACTCGAAACAGCAATCGTCGCTAAAAAGCAAAGCTCACCTGGTAACAACACTTCATATGGATCTTGGTATACATTAAGCTGCTTACCGAAGTGGTTTGAACCTGGAGAACAACAGAGCCCGAACTGAAAACTATTTTCTTAATTTCGACATTGCGATTTTAGGATTGTTTTTGTGCTCAGAAAATGGAGAATATAACAAGTAAGAGGTTCTAGTCGGGAGCTACCGACTAGGGGATACCCTGAACCCTCTTCTTCTAACATCAAATGCATATATATATTCTATTTTAGAAGCAACATATCATGTTTCGTGACTCTAGCGCTTATTATTTACCAAAATTGCCCAAAAAATAGTATATCGATATCGATTTTTATCGATTGCTTGGACACGGAGTAAGTTATCGATTATCGGTAATAAACTCGATCTGCGCAGGCACTAGGAGCATCTACATCTAAAATAAATTTCAAGTCTATAGCTCTTATATGTTCTGTGATCCTTGCGTTCATACATACGGACGGACGGACAGACGGACAGACGGACAGACAGACAGACGGACATGGCTAGATCGACTCGGCTATTGGTGCTGATCAAGAATATATATACTTTATGGGTTCGGAGATGCTTCCTTCTGCCTGTTACATACATTTGGATTTTGCAAAAATACAATTTATCCGTATACCCATTTTTAATAGGTTCAGGGTATAATCATCGAAAAAGTTTCGATTTTCGCCCCGACCTCGATTTTGAAAAAAAAAAAAACGTGATGATTTGGAAGGTCATATCATATCCCCGGGGAGTTATGTCGCTTTGGAACGTCATATCTCCATCGAAAAAGTTTCGATTTTCGCACCGACCTCGATTTTGAAAAAATCGTGATGATTTGGAAGGCCATATCTCCGCGCGGAGTTATGTCGTTTTGGAACGTCATATCTCCGCGCGGAGCTATGTCGTTTTGGAACGTCATATCTCCGCGCGGAGTTATGTCGTTTTGGAAAGTCATATCTCCGCGCGGAGTTATGTCGTTTTGGAACGTCATATCTCCGCGCGGGGCTATTACCCGAGATATTAAAAAAAAAATCATCGAAAAAGTTTCGATTTTCGCACCGACCTCGATTTTGAAAAAAAAGAACGTGATGATTTGGAAGGTCATATCATATCCGTGGGGAGTTATGTCGTTTTGGAACGTCATATCTCCGCGCGGAGTTATGTCGTTTTGGAACGTCATATCTCCGCGCGGAGCTATGTCGTTTTGGAACGTCATATCTCCGCGCGGAGTTATGTCGTTTTGGAACGTCATATCTCCGCGCGGAGTTATGTCGTTTTGGAACGTCATATCTCCGCGCGGAGTTATGTCGTTTTGGAACGTCATATCTCCGCGCGGAGCTATGTCG